GCCTGCAGGCCTGGCAGCGCCGGACGAGCGATCCCTGGCGCTGCGCCCCAGCCGGCGTGCTCGAGCACGACCAGTGCTTCGCCCTCGACAACGGACTCGCCTTAAGTGCTTCTTGAACAGGCTTAAACAGCTGTTGTGTCGTATTAAATCTCGCTAAGATTACAAATAAATTTATGTGTAGTCAACTAAGGCAGTACTATTTTGATAATTACTAGGCTATTTATTATTAATAAAAATATAGACATAAATAAATGTTGTTACAAAATGTTGTGTTTTATTTAAATATGCTGATGGTCTTCAGGATTAAACTTCACTGAAATTAAACGCAATAGAAAATCGAACTTGCAAATAAGATTGTGTTGTAAAACACAATAAATGACAGTGATCAACTAACTAAGCTAACCTAACAGCTTGCCAAAAGGGGTATGATTATTAACACCTATGTTTTTTTAAAGAGGAATAGAAGAAATAAAACTTTTTAGCTCCTTATATTATTTCTATTTTTTTTTATTTTTTATGAGTATACAGATATTTATAAATAATTAAAGAAAATAGTACATTCAACTTCAAATAGAGATTCCATCACAGAACAAAAAGCTAACATTTAATAGTTATAATTTAAACAACATAACCTAAAATATTTGGTAATTATTTGGATACAGTAAAGTTCTAACAGGAATTATTGACTTTGAATAGGTTTAGCTACCTCCCATGGATCTCTATAGCTTTTATCAATGTGAAACAGTGATATCTTTTACAACACAATTTGATAATACGATAACATAAACATGGTTTAAAAGGCACTGTAGATGTCGCCTGCTCTAGTAGTCTAAGAAACCATTGTCCAAGTGCTCCATGTTGATGGCCATTTTAATATCGATGCTGTGTATTTTGTGAATCATTTGCTCCGTCTTCATCACCTGCAAATTATACTTACATTAAACACTGGTGTTCCTAATAGTGGAAATATATTATTCACCCAAGTCAGAAATCTGTGCCCTATCCTAGAGTTGAGCAAATTTAACTATTTATTTGGATATCACTCCAGCAGCTCATCATTAATACATTTTACATATTAAAATATCTAAACCCCTTTAGGAAACATTTCTATTAAGGTTTAATTAAGATAGATAAAGCTTACCATGGCATCCACCTGGTCCAGTCGATGAGCCTTGTAGAACATGGCTTTGATAATAAACAAAATACATGCATACAGCATCAACCCTATGATCACCATGTACACCCTCATGTACTGCGACATCCAGGACCCCAATGGGCGCTGCAATTCACACCACATTCGTACTTTCAGTAAGGTAATGAGACATGTATGTATTAACATTAACTTATACAAAGTAAAAACAATACACATGAAATGATGACTTCGGCAATTATCACACAGACAATTATCAGTATAGAGAGTA